AGCTTCATTTTAGCTTATTCCCGCCTAGAGGAAGAGCTTCATCTCAGCTCATCCCCGGCAAGAGCAAGAGCTGCCATCATCATAATTCAACCTCGCCAAGAGGAAGAGCTCGATCTCAACTCATTCCTGCCTAGAGGAAGAGCTTCATCTTAGCTCAACTTCGCCTAGAGGAAGAGCTTCGTCTCAACTCATCCTCGGCAAGAAAAAGAGTTGTCATCATCATAATTCAACTTCGCCAAGAGAAAGAGCTCCATCTCAGCTCATCCCCGACTAGAGGAAGAGTTGCCATCAGGCAGATCACCCTCATCCAAAGGAAGAACTTTGATTGTTTGATCATATTTGATCCACCATGGCAGATCCAACTTAGGAGCTGTCGACCTACATTCCAATGGGGGTCAAGTACTCCCACATGGCATAAGTGCCAAGGTACAATTAAAAACCAAATTCAAGCCTCTAAACTTCCGAGTTCGAGGTGAGATGTAGTCTTATAAAAGAAAATTCAAACCTCTGAACTTACGAGTTCGAGGTGCGATGTAATTCCATAAAAGAACATTCAAACCTCTAAACTTACGAGTTTGAGGTGCGATGTAATTTGATAAAAGAAAATGCAAACCTCTAAACTTATGAGTTCGAGGTGCGATGTAATTTGATAAAAGAAAATTCAAATCTCTAAATTTACGAGTTCGATGTGCGATGTACGAAAAATTACGACAAGTTCAAAATTACAAAGATGAGATTGAATTCACCCAATATAAAGTATGTAGGTCCTACTCCAACTCCTAAGCGCCTAGCTTAGGCCGAGCTTTTCAGCTCTTACTCCAACTCCTAAGCATCTAGCTTAGGCCGAGCTTCTCAGCTCCTACTCCAACCCTAAGCGCCAAGCTTAGGTTGAGCTTCTCAGCTCTTACTCCAACCCTAAACGCCAAGCTTAGGCTGAGCTTCTCAGCTCTTACTTCAAACTTTTGAGCGCCCAACTTAGGTCAATCTTCTTCAAATACCAAACTTAATCAACATGGCAAGTCTAAGTTGAGTTTCTCAAAGTTGGCTTAAGTTATGACCATAACATTGTGTTCGACGTCCGACCTACTATATATTGTTCGATGTCTGACATATGATCTACTTCAATTTTGAAAGATGGAAAGTCACCACTTCGGCAGATTTTCAAACCCAAGAAAAACTTCTCTGCCAGGTCGAACTCGGACCAGCTAGAGAGGGGGTCAATGTTTGGGGGTGAAAATCGTACAGCCACGTGGAAGACAGAAAAAGGTCCAACTTTGGAGGTCTTCCCTTTGGTGGTCTGACCTGGAGGTCTTCTTTTTGGTGGCCGACCTGAAGATCTTCCTTTTGGTGGTTGATCTGTAGTGGCCGACCTGAAGAGCTTCCCTAAGGGTCGACCTGAAGAGCTATTTGAGGGTCGACCTGAAGGTCTTGCCTGAAGAGCTCCCTGAGGGTCGACATGAAGGTCTTGTCTGAAGAACTCCCTGAGGGCCGACCTGAAGGTCTTGCCTAATGGCCGACCTGAGGCATTCCCTAAAGGCCGATTTGAAGGTCTTCCCTGAAGGTTATTCAAAGGAGGAATGACCTTCCATACTTAGCCAAATTCCAGATGACAAGAGTATGAACTGGAATAGCTACTCCCGACAGGTCGATCTTGGTCCCGACATACTCAACCGCTGGTCGGATTCCTTGTTGGGTACCTCAACCTATAAATAGAGCACTTCATTCTTCAGTCAGGTATCATATTCTAGCTCGACCTCCATACTAAGGTCGGACTCAAAACTGACTTGAGCGTCGGAGTGTTTGTTCCCTTGTGCAGGTCTTCCCTCGCCAAGTGGCTTTCAACTCATCCCAGTCAGTTGACCTTAACCCTTTGAGCTGGTCATCTGTTTCCAAGGATACTCAAGCTCTTCCTGCGGTCATACCTGGAGCAGGTCAAGCTCTCCCGACGGTCATATCTAGAGCAGGTCGAGCTCTTCCGCGTGGCCGACTTTCACCAGGTCATATCCCGTCACATTTTTTTGCATAAACAGAATTGACAGAATGTGGCAACAAACACTATGTTTAGATTAGATCAACGAACCAAAAAATAACTTAAAACTTATTCTTGACTTAATTCCTTGTACCATAAAATCTTTTTTGGCCCATTAACCTTGATTTTATCTCTGGACAAACTCTTCCTTATTCAATGTCATGTCAAATTAGCATTTATTAGTGAAATCAACATGCCACAATAACTTTCAAAGTAATCGTATTAACAACTTGTACCTTCTATTAAAAATAAAAATTGAAAACTTAACAACACAATTGAAGCTTTCTTAAAATTAAAAAATAGATATACGTAATAAGTCAACGTTGAGGGACTAAACCCATGATTTAACATTTATATGATGACCAGTTACTAGTTTAATTCTCAAATTTCTCCTTTCAGCTTAAGAAAACAACTATTTTTATTGATAGTATTATTATTGTTTATTTAGTAAGAGTTGGAGGGATGAAAACAGACATTTTAAAAGTTATTTTAGGACAAAATTGAGATTTAAACCTGAATTATTGGTTTAGAATTGAAACATAATTTAAATGTGTTGATTAGAAGACGATAATTGCACAACAGAGGTCGCATTTTGAAATTTGATTATTATTATTTATGGTTGGAAAATAAAATTTTCAAAAGACATTAGAGTTTTGATGGGTGATCTGACTTGTATTTTTTATTTTTAGTGTTTTTAAGATACGTATTTGATAATTTTGAAATTTAATATCAATTTTAAAATTTGTTCCATGATGTTTAGTAATATATTTATAAAGGTTACTAACTAAATATTTAATTCAATCTAAAATAATAAATATATTAACATTTTTTGTTATAAATTTGGTAGAATTATTATTTTATAATGGATAATATATTATATTTTACATGTTCTAATTTTAACAAACAAAAAAAAATCGAGTTTATAACATAAAATAATATATTATCAAAATTTTTATCTTTTTTAACGTAATTCTACATTTTAAAGTTTCAAATTCATACTAAAAAAGTTTCAAATTCAAAATCTAAAAAAACTGAATTTATTACATCAAAAATAGTTTTAAAAAACAAATCTACAAGTATATTCACTCACCCACCAAAACATCCTCCTCATTGCTGCTGGTCCAGTGGGGCCCACTCCTAATCCCATATCTTAATCTCTACCTTTCATATGGCAGCATCCATGCCTCACTTCTCCATCTCAATTTAAACCATTTATTTATTTTCATTTTTAATTTTATATATATATATATATATATATATATATTTCTTAATAGTAAAAATTTAGAAAAAAAAAGAAAAAGATAATTTAGAGACTACTACAGAAGCAGGTCACAAAATGCCAAGTTTCTCATTCTGACTCTTAAATCTCAACCCTTCCTTCCTTATCACACACTCCCTTTTCCCTCTCCATTTTCCCTCTATCTTCTTCTCCTCTATTTGTATTGTTTGAGAGCTTCGTTTCGAAACTCCTCTCCATTTTTTTCCGCTCTTCATTATCCAGTCCTCCCAAATCTCGCTCTCTCCAACTCTACACCGCTCTGAACCCCTTCTTCATTCTTCGTCTTCGTCGTCGTCTCGTTCGAGTAATTGGTAATGGATAATTCTTTGTTGTTGTTCTTCTTCTTTCTCCTCATTAATGGCTTACTCAATAGTAATAAACTTCTCCTCCTCCTTCTATGGCCTCTGTTCTCAGGTGGACAAAAATGGCCCCAAGAAACAGCCATGGCAAGCCCAAGGCAGACAAGAAGAAGAAGAAAGAAGAGAAGGGTAATCTCGTCATTTCACCTAACTTCATTCATTTCCTCTCCAGCCCAGAAATT